TCGCGCATAAGAAGGGAACTCTAAAGGGTCCGTAAATTCGACAAAGTGATGGTTGATTCATTCCCTCAAATCACAGGCCTCAGGTTTTGACCAGTTTGTCCAGTCGGAAGCCCTAGAAAAGGAAGAAGTCCCAGCCTTGTCCCATGTAGAGGGTTGTGAAGAAGAACTTCCCATGTCCATATTTGCAACTTTTTGAATCAAAGGATTGAGAGCGGTTTGTTCGTAGTCCAAGGGTGAGTCAGAAGGACAAATTCCCATGTCCATATTTGTGAGTTTCTGAATCGAAGGATTAAGGGCAATATGTTCGAAGTCCAAGGGTTTATAATTTGCAAAGGCATCCATGACCTGAATATAGAAAGGTGGGTAAAGGTGGCTAATTAATGCATGGAGCTTCTTTCTAGGAGGAACAGCATCGTCATATGACTCTTCGTGTGTTTGATCATTGGAGGAGAAAATTGATTCGGCCATAAAATATATCAGTCTGTTCGAAAGCTAAGGTGGTGGAGGTGTTCAAAAGATTGAAGGAGAGTTTAATGCAGATAGTAAATGACGGTTGCATTTCTGGGAAAATGCAAAACCCATGCACGTTCTAAGACGTGGGAAAAAGACCTTGATCCACTAATATCACCAAGTATTGGGAATGTTAGTGCGGGGGGTAATGTTGGCTACATATTTTGTACAAGTCAATTACGATTCGACGCGTGGCAAAGTAAGGATAGTACGGGAAGACTATTCAAATCTTCAATCCTGATCGTACACGTGGCAGTTAGTATTGGTTGTTATGAGATCTAAGTAGCAGTGGATCAGCAGAGAGATACAAAGTGATGTGGCATCATCGGTTACTCACATTTGAATTCAAATTTGTGAGGGAAGCCTAACTGCAAGTGATGGCGTAATGGAGCTAATCTTGAGGCAACATGATCAGCAATCATGGAGGAGCAGTTCGACGGTTGGAAATACAGTTCGATGGTCATCCTTAAGCAGTATAAATAGCAGAGAAGGCCTTAGAAAAGCCCCCCAAACTCAGATCCAAAAATCAGTCATATTCTACTTTACTTAGTTTTACATTTCCTGTTCTTTACATTCCAGTACTTTAAATTCTGCACTGCACTTCATTCATAAGAGTAGTTTCAAGTAAATTCTGCACTGCACTGCACTTCTAATGAAATGTTTCAGTTGTTCTTTATTTGATTGATATTTTGCTTAATTCTCCTAAATCAAGCCACCAGTAAAAGTCCTCTTTATTGAGGCTGAGAGAACTAAAACACAATCGTCTGATAATTGGTTGGCAATTACAACTCTGTAAGGACTGATTGATCCTTGCTGGCACGCTCGCATTAAATCATAGACATTCGAAAGCCAAAAAAAACTAACATATATAATATATACATATGATATGTTTGCAGTTTAAAAAAAATTATACTTTTCTTTGGATATGAAAATCAAAATCCAAAAAAAAAAAAAAAAACAAACAAAAAAAAGGGCCCAAAAAATTGTACTCAAATAATTCCAACACATAACGAAGAAAGATGGGTAAGAATAACAAAATGTTTCATGCCACCTTTTCCCTCCACCCCCTTTGACCCCCTCTCTCTCTCATTGGTTACATTTTCTTTTTCTTTTTTCTTTTTTTCCTGCTCCTCCAATCACCACCCGCCACGTGTCTGTGGGGGTTGTGGGGGTGGTGATTGGAGGGGGTCTCTATCATAGCTCAAGAAATAATATTATTACACTGACCTCCTTTCTAATAAAATTAAATAAATTGAAATTAATTCGGATGGTTAAAAAACATAAAAATAAATAATATAAAGTATATATTTTCATATAAAAGAGATAATAATATTATTTTGGAGTATTTACACACGTCTTAATTTATGAACTTATATTTCATGAAGTTCTAATTACAATTTTTTAGACTTTCAAGTCCTATTAAATTTTTAATAATCGAAATTGCCCTTCAAACAATGATTGTTCATCATTTATGATATCTATAAAAGAATATGATGATTTGGCATTTATTTTGATTTTCAAAACCTTAAAACTAAATTTTTTTGTGCGAAACTAAAAAAAACTAAATTTTTTGAAAAAATTGAATTATTTTTTTGTGCGAAACTAAAAATTTTGTGTCTACAAAGGAGTATGATGATGAAACATTGATGTGCAAAACTTAAAAAAAAAAAAACTTTAAAAATGAAAAAATTGATAATGTTCTTAGTCTTAAAACTGAAAAAAAAAATTATAATATTTTCGGTTTTCTCGTATAGTTGAATCAAAACAATAAGTAGAAACGCAAAAACGTATGCTCTATTTTTTTGCCCTTTAGTTAGTGAAATAATTATCTGAAACATTACTATACAAAATTAATAACGTTCTTAGTTTTAAAAATTGAAAAAAACTGAAAATGTTTTCAATTTTATTAAATAGAACTTATTGATTTAAAAAATCTTAAATATGATCTAAGTTATTATAATATTTATAAATAAAACTTTTAAGTAATTAATTCTATTATTTTTTTATCTATATAATTAACAATTTATTGATAAAAATAGAGTTAAGGGTCAAACAAATTAGAATATTAAAGAAACTTAATATAATTATATTAAAATGGTAAGATTTATTATATTTTTTTAAATTAAAAAAATCACCATAATTTATCCCAAAAAAATGTAGGTATATATATGTACATGCATATAATCCCAAGAACATACACGTCAAATGTTTGCAGTTCCCAAAAACAAAACAAAAAAAGAAAAGAAGATTTGATTATACGTTTCTTCGATAAAGACAAATCCAAGAACCAAAAAAATTGTAGTATTAGATATATATGTATGTAGTACAGGCTAAAATAATATTATTGGATTTAGATAGAATCGATGGTTTAAGAAGTCCTCCTCATGATCAAGATTTGTCGGATAGTGTATAGACGCATTCCGCATTCGATGGTTTAAATATTCATTTATTTTCTTTTTCGCATGGGCAAATTACACTAATACTCTGAGATTTGTGTGTAATATAATTTTTTTTTCACGGTTAAAAAATTACACTAACCTTTTTATTAAATTAAAATGATATATTTACACTTTAATATATACATATATATATATATATAAAATAAAATAATATTAATATTTATTTATGTTATTTTAAGATAAATAACAATTATTTTTTTTTGGTTTAATTCACACAAAAATTGAATTTCTTTATTTTTTATTTTTTTTATTTTTATTAATTTTTTAAAATATTTTTAGTAATTTTTTTTTTTAAATACACCTAACCTAGATATACTTAAAAGTATAATATTTTGTGATTTTTATTTTAAATTCACCAAATACAAAAAAATATAAAACTATAAAAATTCAATAATATTGTAAGAAATGCGAAGGATGATATTTGGTAATACTGTAATAAATGTGAGTGAATTGATAAGAAAGAAAAATGATGGTGGAAATAAAAATAAAATTTTTATTCATATGTAAAAAATATCATAAAAATAATGTGATAGTGATGTTATAAATATAAATCATGTTTATGGATATTTTGTTTTAAAGTGAAAGGTCATTATTAAGCTATATAATCATGTTTGAAAAATTTATATAAATTTTATATTTGTATATCATCACTCAATAAGAATATGTTCAGGTAGAATTTAATAATAGAAAGTTATAGAATATAATTATGATGATATGAAGAAAAAATAGTATGAAAAAGTGCAAAATGGTCATTTAAAAAAATTTTAAGGTATGACATCAGTTATCTAAGGAGCAATTTGTGATGAGATTAAAAACCTCAGGGAAGAAAATATAATTTTTCAAACATGAAGAGAGAATTTATATTAAATAAAAGTCTCAGGGTGTCAGTGTGTAATTTATCCTTTTCACATAATAATGTGAGTGTTTGGGAAGCGGCTATTTTAGAAGTTTTTTGACTTTATAACTATTTTAATAGGTTATTTTAATTTTTGTGTTTGAGAAGATAGAATAAGTTTTTATTTGAATTGTTGTATTGAAAAATGTATTTAAAATGATGTTTGAGGTTGAAATATAACTTTACTTTTCCCAAAATTACTCTATATGGGCAAAGGTGTCTTTTTGGCCTATGGGACTAGGCTAGGCCTACCCACTACGGGCTGCTAGGGTATTGGTTTTTTTTGTGAGTAAGGATCTTCTAGAGTGATTTTTTTCTAAAGTTTTCTAGAGTGTTACATTGTGTAGTTGAGATTTACTGGCAAGTCACATCAATTTTTCTGATGTGACTTGCCAGTAAATCTCAACCACACAATATAGCATTTTAGGAAACTTTAGGAAAATTTTACTGATCCTTGGTGTCTTTTTGTTTGTTTGTTTTTTATTTTTTTTGTTTTTATTTTTATTTTTTTATATTTGAGGCTATTTTAACCTTAACTTTTGCTTCCCAAACACTCCCAATATCAAGGGAGCTCTTATAGCATTGTATAAATGTATTATATTTTATTTTGTTCGTGAATTTACACAACAAATACTATACGTACACTTAAAATTCATCATTATCGAATAATTCATTTCAAGTATGATCCTCATCATATTTAAAATAAACCCCAATCTTGTGTTATATTTTATATGTCATTTTTATATTTCAATTATGTATAATTATCATTTGTATTATCTAATTGAATCACATGCTAATTCCAGTGTATATACGTCGACTACAATATATAAAATAAAGTGTGACAATGGGTAACAAGTCCATTCACGCCGGAGTTTTTAGACTTTGAATGCAAATTTTAATTTTGGTCAGAGTCACAGAGAGCTAGACCAAATCATGCATATAAAAAAAACCTACCTGTAATAATAAATTGTTTTTGGGCAATCAAGTTTTGCTCAGTCATATCATATATGTATATATATCCTCTCATTTGACCAAACCTCTTCTTGACAAATTCAATATCTCACAATCTATATATATTTGGTCCTCTTCTTATATTTCTTCTATATATAGAAAGAGATAAAGAAAGATCATTGAGAGAGAGGAGGATTGTACTAAAATCACTTGAATAGCTGATGATGGATAAACCAGCTAGGTCAAAAAACAAGTTCTTAATGTTTCTACCAAAACCAGCTTCAGCTAATACCTTCCAAAACCATACTTTCAGCCCAACAAAAGACAAGAGATCAGAATTTCATCAAACAAAGCTCAAAACCCACATCGGAAAAGGGTTCTCCGGTCCGATCATCTCGATAATTCCGGCAGATGCACGCCGGAATACGAAGAACTCGAGCTTCGAAGCCCAACAAGAACCCACTTCACCAAAAGTCTCATGCATGGGCCAAATCAAGCACAAGAAGAAGGTAATAAAGAATGAGAAACATGCTTCGCCGCCTAAAGATTTCAAGCCTGTAGAGGCAAAGAAGAAGGTATCGAAAATTCGGAGTCTGTTCAGTAGTAAAACACCTACTGGTAGAAAATCAGATGATTCTGATGGTAAGTCTGACTTGTCTGATAAAGCGCCGAGCTTGAGTCAAACTAGGCGGTTTTCGAATGGTCGTGATTCGCTTTCCTCGCTCGATTGGATGGCTCAGGTTGCTCCGGTGGATGGAGATTCTGATGAAGAGAGTGAAGAAGAAGAAGAGGAGAGGGAGATTATAATTCCTTTCTCTGCACCAATACTGGTTGGTGGAGGTGGAGGTGGGGTGGTTGCTTTGGAGCCAAGGAAGGAAATTAATCTATGGAAGAGGAGAACCATAGCTCAACCTATGCCTCTTCAAGTTAATACCCTCTTTTGATGGAGCTGAGAGTGTTCGGTTTTAAATAACAGTATTAGAATACATATCAATATTGACTGATCTTAAATATCAACCGATATATCGATGAATATCAATATGATATTAGAAATTCAAAATTCTAATACATAAATGTATATATTTAAAATTATTGATCGTTTATTTCTCCTTTTGTACTACCTTATCACATTCTCATTTAAACTTTAACTTCGATGGTGTGAACATCGCACAGGAAGTGAGACAAATGATTTGAACTAAGTTGATAGAGGTTACATAAGACATTCTTTTTGGCCTCTTTTGTATTTTCATTTTGTTTTTTAGATCATTGGTTAGTTTAGGCATATTAATGTGCATGCAAAAGTGCAATTGTAATTTTTTTCTTTCTTTTTATTCGTTTAGATCTACATAGCTGCGATTGTAAATTGAGATGGTGATTACATGTCATTATTGTATACCTAAATGCTAATTATATATAATTTCCTTGTTTAATAGATTTGATTTTTTTATTTATTTCATATATTGCTACTAAAACGACTATTGGATCACTTTAAAGTTGTTTTACTTTAGTTATTTTTTAATGCAACAATTTCAATTTTAAAGTTGTCGTAGTTGATGTAATTAATGACTTTCAAATTAATCATCTGTGTAATTACTCTTATTTAAAGTACTTTTTCATTTACATGATTAGTTTAGTCACATTGGGGCATTATATGAGTCCAATGATTTTGTAAATTCAACCATTTAAACAATTTCAACGAATAGGCTCTGTGTGGGTGATTTTCTGACCACACTACCCGCTTAGTAATCAGCTGTAGAGTACCGGCATAATAGATGGCTTCAGTTAACCTATAACAGAAAGAAAAGGCTCCGGCGGTGGCTCTTCCACCCGGGGGCACTCCGACGATCAAGTCAATATATCTCTAAAAAATAATCAAGTGCTAAACTCATTATTCAATGCATAAAACTGCGTACCTTAGACCCACAGGGGTGCTTCTCTTTTATAGCCAACTTAATCCTGATCCCACTAGAAGCCTGACTTCTATGGACTCCCATTCAGTGCTTATTTTGGATTTCTCAAGAGATAAAAATAAACTCCCTAAGATCTTTATCCTTATCTTAGCTAAGTCTTCTCTTTACTCTAGGACTCTTGTCCCTTATCTTTTATCCATTTATCTCGGATTCCGATATTTTCGGAGATAACCTCAGACTTGCCGAGATAACCTCGGCGTTACAACCTGGACACATGGCACCTCGGCTTGCCACATGTTGGTATTCAGAAAATACATCCCCACAACTACCCCCTAGGTTCTATTACCTCGACATTCTGAGGTGATGGAACCTATATCTGTATTTTCTTCCAGTAAATCGGCTTAAAGTTTGATAGCTGAGATCATCCATTTCTGGCCGACATGCTTTCCCTAAAAAATCAAGATTTTTAAGGATCTTCTCACGTGCATGGGCTGTTATGCACTTTAACCCAACCGTTTTCGACATGCGTTTCCCTCTTATTGGTTCGTACAGGTGACGCGCTTTGTTAGCCACCTCTTTTCTCACGTGCGCCGTCTGACGCCCTCGTTCTTCTAGGCGTATTGATTGCTTTTGCCGCCGTTTCTGTTTAATCAAAAACTTTTTCCCTTTTTTCCATCTCTTTACTTTTTCATTCGAATCTCCTGCTCTCTCTCTAGCTTTCAAAATCTTCCATCGCTTAAGTTTCCAAAGCTCTGCAACCTTCTCCGTTCACCCTTTCCAGCAAGATTTTCACTGGTCTTCTGCTCTTGCAATCGTCGTAAGACATCGGCAAATCCTTTTCCGGCTTACCTTTCTCTGGTAAGCTACTGTTCCTTTTGTTTTTAGTTCCTGATGTTTCTTCTTCTTTTGCTGTCGCCATTACTGTACTGTTTCAAGCCTTTTTAATTTATAAATTGTACATCTGAATGCATTCATCCATGAGTTTGCTTTTGCCCACATTTTGAACGCACGCACTGTTTCACCACATCTTTACACTTTTGCCACTGTTCTTGGCCATATACTCTGGTATTCTTCATGTTCTTGATAGCCCATCTCAATTCTTGTTTCTGAAACTTCGTTTTTGTTTTCTGTTTTTTACATCTTTTCCAGATTCTTGCTTTCAATCCGTGTTTCCATAGATTTAGGTCTGGGATTTGTCTGCAAAACCCATAACTTAGGGAACAAAACTAAAACCTGCACTTACCTTATCGTTTGCCGATGTCCTAGTAACCTTTCAAAAACATCTTCTGAGACCCACCTTCTAAGATTAAGCCGATATCATGGGTATGTGGAAACATAGGGTAAATACCCCCTACAAACTTGAATATTTAGACAGGAGTTTGAGATCCCGGCCGATGTCAATCTGAGGTTGGCTGGGGATGATGACTCCATCATGCCTACCGAAAACTCCATGCCCTTCCCTGTAGTTGTCTTCATAGAGTGTGGACTTCGGCTTCCTTTAAACATTCTGTTTCGTGAAGTTCTCCATTACTATAAGTTGAATCCTATTCAACTGGCCATCAATTCCTATCGGGTGATCTTTGGCATCATAGCCCTAGCTAAACAGGAAAAGACTAGGATCACTCTTGTCGACATCCAATATTGCTACACCATGTGTGGCCTTAACTTGAAAGAAAAAGGCTAAGAACTTCCCATGTCCATATTTGTAACTTTTTGAATCAAAGGATTGAGGACAGTTTGTTTGTAGTCCAAGGGTGAATTAGAAGAAGAACTTCCCATGTCCATATTTGTAACTTTTTGAATCAAAGGATTGAGGACAGTTTGTTTGTAGTCCAAGGGTGAATTAGAAGAAGAACTTCCCATGTCCATATTTGTAACTTTTTGAATCAAAGGATTGAGGACAGTTTGTTTGTAGTCCAAGGGTGAATTAGAAGAAGAACTTCCCATGTCCATATTTGTAACTTTTTGAATCAAAGGATTGAGGACAGTTTGTTTGTAGTCCAAGGGTGAATTAGAAGAAGAACTTCCCATGTCCATATTTGTAACTTTTTGAATCAAAGGATTGAGGACAGTTTGTTTGTAGTCCAAGGGTGAATTAGAAGAAGAACTTCCCATGTCCATATTTGTAACTTTTTGAATCAAAGGATTGAGGACAGTTTGTTTGTAGTCCAAGGGTGAATTAGAAGAAGAACTTCCCATGTCCATATTTGTAACTTTTTGAATCAAAGGATTGAGGACAGTTTGTTTGTAGTCCAAGGGTGAATTAGAAGAAGAACTTCCCATGTCCATATTTGTAACTTTTTGAATCAAAGGATTGAGGACAGTTTGTTTGTAGTCCAAGGGTGAATTAGAAGAAGAACTTCCCATGTCCATATTTGTAACTTTTTGAATCAAAGGATTGAGGACAGTTTGTTTGTAGTCCAAGGGTGAATTAGAAGAAGAACTTCCCATGTCCATATTTGTAACTTTTTGAATCAAAGGATTGAGGACAGTTTGTTTGTAGTCCAAGGGTGAATTAGAAGAAGAACTTCCCATGTCCATATTTGTAACTTTTTGAATCAAAGGATTGAGGACAGTTTGTTTGTAGTCCAAGGGTGAATTAGAAGAAGAACTTCCCATGTCCATATTTGTAACTTTTTGAATCAAAGGATTGAGGACAGTTTGTTTGTAGTCCAAGGGTGAATTAGAAGAAGAACTTCCCATGTCCATATTTGTAACTTTTTGAATCAAAGGATTGAGGACAGTTTGTTTGTAGTCCAAGGGTGAATTAGAAGAAGAACTTCCCATGTCCATATTTGTAACTTTTTGAATCAAAGGATTGAGGACAGTTTGTTTGTAGTCCAAGGGTGAATTAGAAGAAGAACTTCCCATGTCCATATTTGTAACTTTTTGAATCAAAGGATTGAGGACAGTTTGTTTGTAGTCCAAGGGTGAATTAGAAGAAGAACTTCCCATGTCCATATTTGTAACTTTTTGAATCAAAGGATTGAGGACAGTTTGTTTGTAGTCCAAGGGTGAATTAGAAGAAGAACTTCCCATGTCCATATTTGTAACTTTTTGAATCAAAGGATTGAGGACAGTTTGTTTGTAGTCCAAGGGTGAATTAGAAGAAGAACTTCCCATGTCCATATTTGTAACTTTTTGAATCAAAGGATTGAGGACAGTTTGTTTGTAGTCCAAGGGTGAATTAGAAGAAGAACTTCCCATGTCCATATTTGTAACTTTTTGAATCAAAGGATTGAGGACAGTTTGTTTGTAGTCCAAGGGTGAATTAGAAGAAGAACTTCCCATGTCCATATTTGTAACTTTTTGAATCAAAGGATTGAGGACAGTTTGTTTGTAGTCCAAGGGTGAATTAGAAGAAGAACTTCCCATGTCCATATTTGTAACTTTTTGAATCAAAGGATTGAGGACAGTTTGTTTGTAGTCCAAGGGTGAATTAGAAGAAGAACTTCCCATGTCCATATTTGTAACTTTTTGAATCAAAGGATTGAGGACAGTTTGTTTGTAGTCCAAGGGTGAATTAGAAGAAGAACTTCCCATGTCCATATTTGTAACTTTTTGAATCAAAGGATTGAGGACAGTTTGTTTGTAGTCCAAGGGTGAATTAGAAGAAGAACTTCCCATGTCCATATTTGTAACTTTTTGAATCAAAGGATTGAGGACAGTTTGTTTGTAGTCCAAGGGTGAATTAGAAGAAGAACTTCCCATGTCCATATTTGTAACTTTTTGAATCAAAGGATTGAGGACAGTTTGTTTGTAGTCCAAGGGTGAATTAGAAGAAGAACTTCCCATGTCCATATTTGTAACTTTTTGAATCAAAGGATTGAGGACAGTTTGTTTGTAGTCCAAGGGTGAATTAGAAGAAGAACTTCCCATGTCCATATTTGTAACTTTTTGAATCAAAGGATTGAGGACAGTTTGTTTGTAGTCCAAGGGTGAATTAGAAGAAGAACTTCCCATGTCCATATTTGTAACTTTTTGAATCAAAGGATTGAGGACAGTTTGTTTGTAGTCCAAGGGTGAATTAGAAGAAGAACTTCCCATGTCCATATTTGTAACTTTTTGAATCAAAGGATTGAGGACAGTTTGTTTGTAGTCCAAGGGTGAATTAGAAGAAGAACTTCCCATGTCCATATTTGTAACTTTTTGAATCAAAGGATTGAGGACAGTTTGTTTGTAGTCCAAGGGTGAATTAGAAGAAGAACTTCCCATGTCCATATTTGTAACTTTTTGAATCAAAGGATTGAGGACAGTTTGTTTGTAGTCCAAGGGTGAATTAGAAGAAGAACTTCCCATGTCCATATTTGTAACTTTTTGAATCAAAGGATTGAGGACAGTTTGTTTGTAGTCCAAGGGTGAATTAGAAGAAGAACTTCCCATGTCCATATTTGTAACTTTTTGAATCAAAGGATTGAGGACAGTTTGTTTGTAGTCCAAGGGTGAATTAGAAGAAGAACTTCCCATGTCCATATTTGTAACTTTTTGAATCAAAGGATTGAGGACAGTTTGTTTGTAGTCCAAGGGTGAATTAGAAGAAGAACTTCCCATGTCCATATTTGTAACTTTTTGAATCAAAGGATTGAGGACAGTTTGTTTGTAGTCCAAGGGTGAATTAGAAGAAGAACTTCCCATGTCCATATTTGTAACTTTTTGAATCAAAGGATTGAGGACAGTTTGTTTGTAGTCCAAGGGTGAATTAGAAGAAGAACTTCCCATGTCCATATTTGTAACTTTTTGAATCAAAGGATTGAGGACAGTTTGTTTGTAGTCCAAGGGTGAATTAGAAGAAGAACTTCCCATGTCCATATTTGTAACTTTTTGAATCAAAGGATTGAGGACAGTTTGTTTGTAGTCCAAGGGTGAATTAGAAGAAGAACTTCCCATGTCCATATTTGTAACTTTTTGAATCAAAGGATTGAGGACAGTTTGTTTGTAGTCCAAGGGTGAATTAGAAGAAGAACTTCCCATGTCCATATTTGTAACTTTTTGAATCAAAGGATTGAGGACAGTTTGTTTGTAGTCCAAGGGTGAATTAGAAGAAGAACTTCCCATGTCCATATTTGTAACTTTTTGAATCAAAGGATTGAGGACAGTTTGTTTGTAGTCCAAGGGTGAATTAGAAGAAGAACTTCCCATGTCCATATTTGTAACTTTTTGAATCAAAGGATTGAGGACAGTTTGTTTGTAGTCCAAGGGTGAATTAGAAGAAGAACTTCCCATGTCCATATTTGTAACTTTTTGAATCAAAGGATTGAGGACAGTTTGTTTGTAGTCCAAGGGTGAATTAGAAGAAGAACTTCCCATGTCCATATTTGTAACTTTTTGAATCAAAGGATTGAGGACAGTTTGTTTGTAGTCCAAGGGTGAATTAGAAGAAGAACTTCCCATGTCCATATTTGTAACTTTTTGAATCAAAGGATTGAGGACAGTTTGTTTGTAGTCCAAGGGTGAATTAGAAGAAGAACTTCCCATGTCCATATTTGTAACTTTTTGAATCAAAGGATTGAGGACAGTTTGTTTGTAGTCCAAGGGTGAATTAGAAGAAGAACTTCCCATGTCCATATTTGTAACTTTTTGAATCAAAGGATTGAGAGCGGTTTGTTCGTAGTCCAAGGGTGAGTCAGAAGGAGAACTTCCCATGTCCATATTTGTGAGTTTCTGAATCGAAGGATTAAGGGCAATATGTTCGAAGTCCATGGGTTTATAATTTGCAAAGGCATCCATGACCTGAATATAGAAAGGTGGGTAAAGGTGGCTAATTAATGCATGGAGGTTCTTTCTAGGAGGAACAGCATCGTCATATGACTCTTTGTGTGTTTGATCATTGGAGGAGAAAATTGATTCGGCCATAAAATGTATCAGTCTGTTCGAATGCTAAGGTAGTGGGGGTGTTCAAAAGATTGAAGGAGAGTTTAATGCAGATAGTAAATGACAATTGCATTTCTGGGAAAATGCAAAACCCATGCACGTTCTAAGACGTGGGAAAAAGACTTTGATCCACTAATATCACCAAGTATTGGGTATGTTAGTGCGGGGGGTAATGTTGGCTACATATTTTGTACAAGTCAATTACGATTCGACGCGTGGCAAAGTAAGGATAGTACGGGAAAACTATTCAAATCTTCAATCTTGATCGTACACGTGGCAGTTAGTATTGGTTGTTACGAGATCTAAGTAGCAGTGGATCAGCAGAGAGATACAAAGTGATGTGGCATCATCGGTTACTCACATTTGAATTCAAATTTATGAGGGAAGCCTAACTGCAAGTGATGGCGTAATTGAGCTAATCTTGAGGCAACATGATCAGCAATCATGGAGGAGCAGTTCGACGGTTGGAAATACAGTTCGATGGTCATCCTTAAGCAGTATAAATAGCAGAGAAGGCCTTAGAAAAGCCCCCCAAACTCAGATCCAAAAATCAGTCATATTCTACTTTACTTAGTTTTACATTTCCTGTTCTTTACATTCCAGTACTTTAAATTCTGCACTGCACTTCATTCATAAGAGTAGTTTCAAGTAAATTCTGCACTGCACTGCACTTCTAATGAAATGTTTCAGTTGTTCTTTATTTGATTGATATTTTGCTTAATTCTCCTAAATCAAGCCACCAGTAAAAGTCCTCTTTATTGAGGCTGAGAAAACTAAAACACAATCGTCTGATAATTGGTTGACAATTAAATTTCTGTAAGGACTGATTGATCTTTGCTGGCACGCTCGCAATTACAATAATAACATTCGAAAGCCAAAAAACTAACATATATATATATACATATGATATGTTTGCAGTTTAAAAAAAAATTATACTTTTCTTGGATAATGAAAAATCCAAAATCCAAAAAAAAAAAAAAAAAAACAAAAAACAAAAAAAAGGGCCCAAAAAATTGTACTCAATAATTCCAAGCACATACAGAAAAAGATGGGTAAGAAATAACAAAAATGTTTCATGCCACCTTTTCCCTCCACCCCCTTTGACCCCCTCCCTCTCTTATTGGTTACATTTTCTTTTTCTTTTTTATTTTTTTCCTGCTCCTCCAATCACCACCCGCCACGTGTCTGTGGGGGTTGTGGGGGTGGTGATTGGAGGGGGTCTCTATCATAGCTCAAGAAATAATATTATTACACTGACCTCCTTTCTAATAAAATTAAATAAATTGAAATTAATTCGGATGGTTAAAAAACATAAAAATAAATAATATAAAGTATATATTTTCATATAAAAGAGATAATAATATTATTTTGGAGTATTTACACACGTCTTAATTTATGAACTTATATTTCATGAAGTTCTAATTACAATTTTTTAGACTTTCAAGTCCTATTAAATTTTTAATAATCGAAATTGCCCTTCAAACAATAATTGTTCATCATTTATGATATCTATAAAAGAATATGATGATTTGGCATTTATTTTGATTTTCAAAACCTTAAAACATCAACTTTTAAATTAAAAAAAAAAGGTTATGCGCAAGAAAAAAAAACTAAATTTTTTGAAAAAATTGAATTATTTTTTTGTGCGAAACTAAAAATTTTGTGTCTACAAAGGAGTATGATGATGGAACATTGATGTGCAAAACTTAAAAAAAAAAAAAACTTTAAAAATGAAAAAATTGATAATGTTCTTAGTCTTAAAACTGAAAAAAAAAATTATAATATTTTCGGTTTTATCGTATAGTTGAATCAAACCAATAAGTAGAAACGCAAAAACGTATGCTCTATTTTTTTGCCCTTTAGTTAGTGAAATAATTATCTGAAATATTACTATACAAAATTAATAACGTTCTTAGTTTTAAAAATTGAAAAAAACTGAAAATATTTTCAATTTTATTAAATAGAACTTATTGATTTAAAAAATCTGAAATATGATCTAAGTTATTATAATATTTATAAATAAAACTTTTAAGTAATTAATTCTATTATTTTTTTATCTATATAATTAACAATTTATTGATAAAAATAGAGTTAAGTGTCAAACAAATTTGAATATTAAAGAAACTTAATATAATTATATTAAAATGGCTCAGGTTGCTCCGGTGGATGGAGATTCTGATGAAGAGAGTGAAGAAGAAGAAGAGGAGAGGGAGATTATAATTCCTTTCTCTGCACCAATACTGGTTGGTGGAGGTGGAGGTGGGGTGGTTGCTTTGGAGCCAAGGAAGGAAATTAATCTATGGAAGAGGAGAACCATAGCTCAACCTATGCCTCTTCAAGTTAATACCCTCTTTTGATGGAGCTTTTGATGGAGCTGAGAGTGTTCGGTTTTAAATAACAGTAGTGGAATACATATCAGTATCGACGATCTTAAATATCAACCGATATATCGATCAATATCAATATGATATTAGAAATTCAAAATTCTATTTGAAAAATTTATATAAATTTTATATTTGTATATCATCACTCAATAAGAATATGTTCAGGTAGAATTTAATAATAGAAAGTTATAGAATATAATTATGATGATATGAAGAAAAAATAGTATGAAAAAGTGCAAAATGGTCATTTAAAAAAATTTTAAGGTATGACATCAGTTATCTAAGGAGCAATTTGTGATGAGATTAAAAACCTCAGGGAAGAAAATATAATTTTTCAAACATGAAGAGAGAATTTATATTAAATAAAAGTCTCAGGGTGTCAGTGTGTAATTTATCCTTTTCACATAATAATGTGAGTGTTTGGGAAGCGGCTATTTTAGAAGTTTTTTGACTTTATAACTATTTTAATAGGTTATTTTAATTTTTGTGTTTGAGAAGATAGAATAAGTTTTTATTTGAATTGTTGTATTGAAAAATGTATTTAAAATGATGTTTGAGGTTGAAATATAACTTTACTTTTCCCAAAATTACTCTATATGGGCAAAGGTGTCTTTTTGGCCTATGGGACTAGGCTAGGCCTACCCACTACGGGCTGCTAGGGTATTGGTTTTTTTTGTGAGTAAGGATCTTCTAGAGTGATTTTTTTCTAAAGTTTTCTAGAGTGTTACATTGTGTAGTTGAGATTTACTGGCAAGTCACATCAATTTTTCTGATGTGACTTGCCAGTAAATCTCAACCACACAATATAGCATTTTAGGAAACTTTAGGAAAATTTTACTGATCCTTGGTGTCTTTTTGTTTGTTTGTTTTTTATTTTTTTTGTTTTTATTTTTATTTTTTTATATTTGAGGCTATTTTAACCTTAACTTTTGCTTCCCAAACACTCCCAATATCAAGGGAGCTCTTATAGCATTGTATAAATGTATTATATTTTATTTTGTTCGTGAATTTACACAACAAATACTATACGTACACTTAAAATTCATCATTATCGAATAATTCATTTCAAGTATGATCCTCATCATATTTAAAATAAACCCCAATCTTGTGTTATATTTTATATGTCATTTTTATATTTCAATTATGTATAATTATCATTTGTATTATCTAATTGAATCACATGCTAATTCCAGTGTATATACGTCGACTACAATATATAAAATAAAGTGTGACAATGGGTAACAAGTCCATTCACGCCGGAGTTTTTAGACTTTGAATGCAAATTTTAATTTTGGTCAGAGTCACAGAGAGCTAGACCAAATCATGCATATAAAAAAAACCTACCTGTAATAATAAATTGTTTTTGGGCAATCAAGTTTTGCTCAGTCATATCATATATGTATATATATCCTCTCATTTGACCAAACCTCTTCTTGACAAATTCAATATCTCACAATCTATATATATTTGGTCCTCTTCTTATATTTCTTCTATATATAGAAAGAGATAAAGAAAGATCATTGAGAGAGAATAGGATTGTACTAAAATCACTTGAATAGCTGATGATGGATAAACCAGCTAGGTCAAAAAACAAGTTCTTAATGTTTCTACCAAAACCAGCTTCAGCTAATACCTTCCAAAACCATACTTTCAGCCCAACAAAAGACAAGAGATCAGAATTTCATCAAACAAAGCTCAAAACCCACATCGGAAAAGGGTTCTCCGGTCCGATCATCTCGATAATTCCGGCAGATGCACGCCGGAATACGAAGAACTCGAGCTGCGAAGCCCAACAAGAACCCACTTCACCAAAAGTCTCATGCATGGGCCAAATCAAGCACAAGAAGAAGGTAATAAAGAATGAGAAACATGCTTCGCCGCCTAAAGATTTCAAGCCTGTAGAGCCAAAGAAGAAGGTATCGAAAATTCGGAGTCTGTTCAGTAGTAAAACACCTACTGGTAGAAAATCAGATGATTCTGATGGTAAGTCTGACTTGTCTGATAAAGCGCCGAGCTTGAGTCAAACTACGCGGTTTTCGAATGGTCGTGATTCGCTTTCCTCGCTCGATTGGATGGCTCAGGTTGCTCCGGTGGATGGAGATTCTGATGAAGAGAGTGAAGAAGAAGAAGAGGAGAGGGAGATTATAATTCCTTTCTCTGCACCAATACTGGTTGGTGGAGGTGGAGGTGGGGTGGTTGCTTTGGAGCCAAGGAAGGAAATTAATCTATGGAAGAGGAGAACCATAGCTCAACCTATGCCTCTTCAAGTTAATACCCTCTTTTGATGGAGCTTTTGATGGAGCTGAGAGTGTTCGGTTTTAAATAACAGTAGTGGAATACATATCAGTATCGACGATCTTAAATATCAACCGATATATCGATCAATATCAATATGATATTAGAAATTCAAAATTCTAATACATAGATGTATATATTTAAAATTATTGGTCGTTTATTTCTCCTTTTGTACTACCTTATCACATTCTCATTTAAACTTTAACTTCGATGGTGTGAACATCGCACAGGAAGTGAGACAAATGATTTGAACTAAGTTGATAGAGGTTACATAAGACATTCTTTTTGGCCTCTTTTGTATTTTCATTTTGTTTTTTAGATCATTGGTTAGTTTAGGCATATTAATGTGCATGCAAAAGTGCAATTGTAATTTTTTTCTTTCTTTTTATTCGTTTAGATCTACATAGCTGCGATTGTAAATTGAGATGGTGATTACATGTCATTATTGTATACCTAAATGCTAATTATATATAATTTCCTTGTTTAATAATTTTTTGGGGGATTTTCTTGAGAATGAAGTGTTTGATCCAACAAACAAACAAAATTTATAAAAAAATAGTCAAATTATAAATACATATTTTATTAATTGTGCAAGCAAGTAGTAATGCTAGTTTTACACAATTAGGTAGGTAACTATTTGGGCAGCTAACCTTATAGTAGAATTTGCAGTTTCATTTCTTGTCCAATATATATTTTTATTATTATAATTAGTTTTTTTCTAGAATGGTTTCGAAATCTCTAGGGGCTTAAAGCTGCCATAATTGAAAGTTGAAAAACTTAAAATATGCACAGTTTCACGGAGTCCGGATATTTATTTTCCTTAGAGTGATTTTTTTGTTTTGTTTAATTAGAATTTATGTTTTGGAAGGTGAACACTACAGGATTTAGGTAGCGTTTTTTTAATGACCTTTTTTTAAATGTTACTTTTATTTATATTTAACGACGTTTTATAAAAATGTCGCATATTCTTTTAATAAAACGACGCCGTTTTGGAATAGGGGCGTTTAACCAAATATGTTGTGCCTCACACGGCTATTTTCTGACCACACTGCCCGCCTAGTAATCAGTTGGAGAGCACTGGCAGAATAGATGGCTTCAGTTAACCTATAACTGAAAGAAAAGGCTCCGGCGGTGGCTCTTCCACCCGGGGGCACTCCGACGATCAAGTCAATATATCTCTAAAAAATAATAAAGTGCTAAACTCATTATTCAATGCATAAAACTGCGTACCTTAGACCCACGGGGGTGCCTCTCTTTTATAGCCAACTTAATCCTGATCCCACTAGAAGCCTGACTTCTATGGACTCCCATTCAGTGCTTATTTTGGATTTCTCAAGAGATAAAAATAAACTCCCTAAGAGCTTTATCCTTATCTTAGCTAAGTCTTCTCTTTACTCTAGGACTCTTGTCCCTTATCTTTTATCCATTTATCTCGGATTCCGATATCTTCGGAGATAACCTCAGACTTGCCGAGATAACCTCGGCGTTACAACCTGGACACATGGCACCTCGGCTGACACGTCGATGTCACCTTGCCACATGTTGGTATTCAGAAAATACATCCCCACAACTGCCCCCTAGGTTCTATTACCTCGGCATTCTGAGGTGATGGAACCTATATCTGTATTTTCTTCCAGTAAATCGGCTTAAAGTTTGATAGCCGAGATCATCCATTTCTGGCCGACATGCTTTCCCTAAAAAATCAAGATTTTTAAGGATCTTCTCACGCGCATGAGCTGTTATGCACTTTAACCCAACCGTTTTCGACATGCGTTTCCCTCTTATTGGTTCGTACAGGTGACGCGCTTTGTTAGCCATCTCTTTTCTCACGTGCGCTGTCTGACGCCCTCGTTCTTCTAGGCGTATTGATTGCTTTTGCCGCCGTTTCTGTTTAATCAAAAACTTTTTCCCTTTTTTCCGTCTCTTTACTTTTTCATTCGAATCTCCTACTCTCTCTCTAGCTTTCGAAATCTTCCATCGCTTAAGTTTCCAAAGCTCTGCAACCTTCTCCGTTCACCCTTTCCAACAAGATTTTCACTGGTCTTCTGCTCTTGCAATCGTCGTAAGACATCGGCAAATCCTTTTCCGGCTTCCCTTTCTCTAGTAAGCTACTGTTCCTTTTGTTTTTAGTTCCTGATGTTTCTTCTTCTTTTGCTGTCGCCATTACTGTACTATTTCAAGCCTTTTTAATTTATAAATTGTACATCTGAATGCATTCATCCATGAGTTTGCTTTTGCCCACATTTTGAACGCACGCACTGTTTCACCACATCTTTACACTTTTGCCACTGTTCTTGGCCATATACTCTGGTATTCTTCATGTTCTTGATAGCCCATCTCAATTCTTGTTTCTGAAACTTCGTTTTTGTTTTCTGTTTTTTACATCTTTTCCAGATTCTTGCTTTCAATCCGTGTTTCCATAGATTTAGGTCTGGGATTTGTCTGCAAAACCCATAACTTAGGGAACAAAACTAAAACCTGCACTTACCTTATCGTTTGCCGATGTCCTAGTAACCTTTCAAAAACATCTTCTGAGACCCACCTTCTAAGATTAAGCCGATATCATGGGTATGTGGAAACATAGGGTAAATACCCCCTCCAAACTTGAATATTTAGACAGGAGTTTGAGATCCCGGCCGATGTCAATCTGAGGTTGGCTGGGGATGATGACTCCATCATGCCTACCGAAAACTCCATGCCCTTCCCTGTAGTTGTCTTCATAGAGTGTGGACTTCGGCTTCCTTTAAACATTCTGTTTCGTGAAGTTCTCCATTACTATAAGTTGAATCCTATTCAACTGGCCATCAATTCCTATCGGGTGATCTTTGGCATCATAGCCCTAGCTAAACAGGAAAAGACTAGGATCACTCTTGTCGACATCCAATATTGCTACACCATGTGTGGCCTTAACTTGAAAGAAAAAGGCTTCATTTATTATCATAAGCCAAGGTCTACAGAATTCAAAATCGTAGCCGACCTCCCAAACTCCAACAAGGGGGCTGGAGATGACTATCTTATTATCTCGAGAAATTGGGAGTTTGCTCCAGATGAGGACATCCATCTCTACCCTCTTCCCTGATCAGTTTTAGAGGGCAAGGGTAAGAGCCCAGCATTTAGCTTTGCTTGTTTTCTTTCAAAGTCTTACATATTCTGTCTGTTTCTGACGTCTATTCTTTTTTGCAGCTGTTCGTCAGCTACCAAAAAATTTTTGCCAATCTTTTGTCCCTAGTAAAGACTTGAAGAGACTTCTGGATTTGCCAATCGAGAAGCGAAAGGCACCCCTGCTTCTTAACTTCATCCCAACATACAGATCAGCTCTCCCCGACATCCCTAGGAAAAAGAAGAAGAAGAGCTCATCTCCTCCCTCTGCTACAACTCTTCCAGATGCATCAACATCGCAAACAGACCAAGGATCAACCTCTAATCCAGCAGAACAGCCGTCGACCTCGGCTCCATACCTCATTCCACCATCCCAAAGAAAACGTCGCCGACGTCTTGTTCTTGCATCCGAGATGGGTCGTGCAAAGCCAGTTGCTAAAGACCTCCTAGCTGACATTCCATCATCCATTGATGAACAACCAACACAAGGCCAACCTCCAGAAAAACCAAAAAGAATTAAGAAAGCTCAACCGAAGGCGAAAGTGACTCAGGTTGAGACTGAGGACACTTTGCCAACCCCACATCTGGCTTTAACTCAGAAAACTGCCTCTGTCCCTTCGAAGAGGTCTGCCGAAGTACTTCCTTCCGAATCCTCCAAGTCAAAAAGGCCGAGGTCATCTGAAACGACTTCGGGGTCAAAGAAACCAGTTGTCCCCTAGGCCCCCGAGATCACCCTAGAGGATAAGCCTGTAATGGCAAGTGACAGTGCCGACGATATTAATGTCGGCATTGCACTCAGTACCGCTTTACTTTTCCCAGGCGACTTGGAGCGGAACGCCAAGTACAGCGAGTATGAAAATTATGCCTTAATGTTACAGCACTCTGTTCAGGTAAACGTATTCTTCTTGGTAAATTTTTCTTTCTCTTTATTTCATACTTTGAATATTCTTTAATACCTTTGTTTTCTTTCAGGCCATCCAGCACGCCTATTCTTTCTCGATGCAGTCTTTTGAGAATCGGCAAGAGCTGGCCGACATGAAAAAGGAGTTCTCTTTTATTCAAAAGATCAATAAAGGCCTTGAATAAAAAATGAAGAAGCTGGAGGATCAAGCCGAAGCTGCAGTTAAAGCTCAAAATAATGCTGAAGAAAAGGCTGAGGCAGCTGAGGCTATCAGAAAGGTGGCTGAGTCTCAAAGGAGAGAGGCCGAGGAAAAAATGACCCAAGCCGAGAAAGAGCTTCAGGAGGCCCTGGCCACCAAAGAAGCTGAAATCAAAGATGCTGTCGAAAAGGCGTATAATCAGGGTATGGCCGACGTTACTGAGGCCTATGAACTTCAAGTAAAGCAGGCATGCAACAAGGGTTTCACCCTTGGTTGGATGTCTCTTCTAAAAAAACTGAATGTTCCTGATGACTCTCCATTGCGAAAGGCCGACACTATTCCCTTGCCATTTTCTCCAGCCCCAGTCCCAAGTGAAGATGTCGGCGAATCTGATGCTGACGATGAGGCCGAGGAGGAAGAGGACGAGGCTTTGATTGGAAAATCAAAAGATGCTGATGGGGCCAAGTCCCCTCCTCAGAATGATCAAGTCCTAGACTTGACTCAGGACGATGAAGGTGATTTGGTTCCCATAGAAGCTGTTCCTGAGATTGCACCAGCCGACATCCCTTCTGAGGCCAAGTCGGTTGAAGAAACTCTTCAAGAAATTGACGCCGAGATAGCGGCAGAGAAGGAGGCCGAGGTCGTATCTGATCCTCAAATTCAACAATCTGGCGGAGAGGAGCCTTAGCTCCAAGTCTTCTTTTTACTTGTATCTTCTTGCTTCTTTATCCTAGGGAAGGATGTATGCTCTTTGTATGGCCGATGTGCCCCCCTTTTTACTTTGAATGTTAATACAACTTTTCTCTTTTATTGAATGCTTGTACTCCTGTCTTTTCTTCTTTGTCTTCGTATGATTCTATACTTAGAATATTCTGCATATATCGTATGTACTCTTTCTTCTTTGTGCAATCTTCTCGGGGTAACACACCTCGGTTATGCTACCCGATAATATATCTCGGCAAGTATCTATCCTATAAATTGCTTATAAGTTTCAACAAGGATAAACATATAATGGTTATAAATTTTTCTCAAGTTATAACAAGTGCTAAGCAATATCTCGACTTAACTTCAACTTGTAAATTTCTACAAATTTCAACAAGTGAAGATAAAAATTATCTCGGCTTAATTTCAACTTGTAAATTGCTACAAATTTCAACAAGTGAAGATAAACAATTATCTCGGCTTAATTTCAACTTGTAAATTGCTACAAATTTCAACAAGTGAAGATAAACAATTATCTCGGCTTAATTTCAACTTGTAAATTGCTACAAATTTTAACAAGTGA